GTAAAAAAAAAAGCTGATCGAAATAATTTTTAAAAAAAAAGAAAAATTTTCCTCTTTCTCTTTCTCTCTTTTTTTTGTTTTTTTTTTTTTTTAATTACAAAAAAGTTTTCACAAAAGGTTTTTCCTTTTTTTTTTCATCCTTTTTTTTTCCAAAGGAAAAAAAATCTTATCTTTTATATATATATATATATATATATATATATATAAATATAAAATATATATGTATATATATATATATGTAACATATATATATATATATATGTATGTATGTAGTAAAGAAGAACCTTTTCAACAAAGAAACTTTTTGCCTTTTGTAAAACTAATTAAGTTACCGACTTTGTCTTTTCGTAGGCGCACACACGCACCGCGCACGCGCACACGCACGTATTCTCGACGCGGAATTTTTTTTTTAAATTAATTTAATTTAATAAATTTTTTTTTTTTTTTTGTTTTATTTTCTCACTCGAAAGGGAAACGAAAACGAAAAGGACGACGACGACGAGGATGAGGATGATGATGATGATGGGAAAGAGGAAAAATCATTCGAAGAATTAGAAATCGAGAATGGAAAATTATCAGAAACTTTTACAAAGGGAAAAAAAACTTTTCTTGAAATCCGACAAACAGGAAACGATTTGAATTATATCGATGTGGATTTAAAACGGAAATACGTAAAGTTAGTTGCGTCATCGTTGTATCGAATACGTATAATTTTATTATTATTATTAACATCTACGTTTGCATTTCAGTACTCGTTCGAAAAAAAACGATGGCGTATTTACAAATGTCGACGATGACGATGATAAAATAAAAAAAAATGATGACGTAATAACGAACGGTATAAAAAATGAATTTTGTAAGTAAAATAAATTTTTTCTTTTCAATACCCTTTTTTCCTCCCTCGAAATTTTTGACAGTTGTTAATAATGATAATGATGATTTTCATTTAAAATATCATCATCGGATTTTTATTACAGGTTGTGATAAAGACGAAGATGATGACATCGACGACGTAATGAATAATAATAATAATAATAATAATAATAAATTGAAAATTATTATAAATCGTCCTAAAATTTGGGAATTTTACGATAATTTCGATGTTGAAAAAGTAAAATGTTTAAATTGTTCGACGATATTGAAAACTCCTAAAAAAACCACGAGATCCCTTTACAGACATTTAAAAAGTTTTCACATTGAAAAATGGCAATTTTTCGTATCTATCCGATCATTGTATAGACAAAAAAAATTTTTTGAATTGAAAAAATTTTTTAACGATTTTAAACGTTTCAGGTATTCGTAAAAAATCTTTTTTTTCAATAAAACCTGATTTGAAAATTATTATTATTATTACTATTTTTTTCCTTTTCTTTTAATAATTAAAAGTTATGGTATTATTCCATATCCTGGTTTCGTCACTGAATAGTTTCTTATTTAAATTATTAACTTAAAAAAAAAAAAAGTTTACCAATTTTAAAGTTTAACGGTTTTCAAATTATTTTTACCATTTTGGCGGGTAAAATTTGTACTAACCGGAAATAAAAATTTTTTTTCTAATTACACGTTTCTTAACAAAGAACCTTCCCTCCCCCTTTTTTTTTTACTTCGACGATTATTAAATTATTGGCGGGAAAATAATAAAATTTGAAAATGAAGCTCATTTATTCACATCGAACGTTTTAAAATAATAATAATAATGATGATGATGATAATGATGATAAATAATTATAAATTTATTTATTTTTATTATTATTTGTTGTTGTAAATTAAAAAATTTAAACAAAACTAAATAAAAACAACCCTTCGTAAATAAAAAAAAATTTGAGTAAATTTCTATTAAAAATCCATTAAGGAAATAGAAAAAAAAAAAGAAAAAAATTTTTTTTTCGAGTCGAGAGGGAAGGGGGGGAGTAGGGAAGAGTTTGAAGAGGGGGCAGAAACAAATTAAATGAAAAATTTTAAACGTTAAAAAAAAAAAAAATGTCAAAAGAAAAATTTATATGTAAAAAAAGTTGATGTTTTTTATTTTCTAAAAAAAAAAAAAAAGTTTTCGAAAAAAAAAAAAATGTTTTCTCGTGTTTGTTTTATGTAAGTTAAAGTTCAATGAACTTTGATTAAAAGGAAAAATAGTTCGGGAAAACGGTAAAAACCGTTATTAATTTACAACGAAAGATTTAAAAACAACCATTTTCCACCATTTTTAAAACTGTTAAATACTTTTTTCCATTAACCTCCCCGGAGTAGGAGGAAAAAACGATGATGAAAAAAAAAAATTTCTTCTCCTCTCCCCTCTCCCGTTTCCCTTCCCTTCCCCTTCCTTCGTTAATTATTTTATTTATTTAAATAATTTTGCGGTGAGAACATGATGTGGTAGCAGACGATAAATGATATGTTTAGAAAAGAAACCCCCCCCCACGAAATTGAAAAATAAATATCAAATACGTACATTTATTTTTATTTTAATCTGGGCTAAAATCCAAAAAAAAAATTTTCTTTTTTTTTTCTGTTTACTCTGGAATTTATTTATTTTTTCCCTCTTTCCCGTAGGAAGATTTAATATTTCCGGTTATCCTGGTTGAAAAAAAAAAAATTTTTTTATTTTTCTTGCTTTTCTCTCGGAAAATTTTAACCGAAAAAAAAAAACATCACCGTCCATTTTAATTTAATTTAATTTTTTTTTACAATTATTAATTACATTACTTTTTTTTTTTAAAAAAACTAGGGAACCAACCGGAAAAAAAAATTCGTCACAAATAAATAATAATAATAATAATAATAGTTTCGAAAAACAAAAACTTTTAAATTTCTATACAGAGAGAGAGAGAGAGAGAGAGAGTGAGTGAGTGAGAAAAAAAAAAACAAGTTTTAAAAGTATTTTATAGTTTATACGACCCCCTCCTCTTCCCTTCCCGTCCTCCGTTTCCCGACTTCCTCCCCCCCAAACTAAAAGTTTAATGAGAAGATTGTGCATCCAGTTAGAAATCCTGGAGAGAGAGAGAGAGAGAGAGAGAGAAAGAGAGAAAAAAAAAATAAAATAAAAAAAAAATTCAATTTATCAGTGAATCGAAGCATCAAAGGCGGTTGAAAAAAAAATTTATTTATTTATTTTTTTTTCGGTGACTTTTGTTTTATTATTATTATTATTATTATTATTATTATTATTATTATTATTATCGTTACGTAAAGATTGACTCGAACTGGAAAATTAAATTTAAATTTAAATTTAAATTTAAAAAAAAATAAAATTTTATCATTAAATTATATAAGATCATGGAGATTGGGATAAGACCCACAAAAAAAAAAAAAATTTTTGGAATGACGTATATCGTTGTGATATTATAAACGATCGTTAAAACCGTCTATCTACGTCATACATCTCTCTCTCTCTCTCTTTCTCTTTTTCAATTTAAAAATTGTGACGTCACACACTTATAGAAAAATCTCATAGTATAAAATGCTAAAAGGTAAATGATATTCGTGATTTTAAAAAAGGATTTTGAAAAACAAATTTTTGTAACTCGAAGCAGAAGAAAATAAGTTTTGATACGTATATATATATATAATTTTGCTATCGGAAAAGCAAAAAAAAAATTTTCCGGGGAAAAAAACGAAAACGAAAACGTAAAACGAGTACGTAAAAAAAAGGCTCACCCGGAGGGTTTTTTTAAATTGACATATTTTTTTTATAAGATAATCGCCGGCCCTGATCAGGACCGTAGTAATCACTTGTGATAAATTGTTTTTAAAAAAATCTTTAACAAAACAAAATAAAAATAAAAAAAAAATTTGTTTTGTTACGGATCATTGATGCTCTCGTTTTTAAAACAAAATAAAAAAACAATTCCGGTATTTTTTTATATTCGGAGAGTTTTTTGGCGCCAAATTCAAATTTTTATTTTCCTTTCATTGTTTTTTTTTTTAAATGATGTGAAATTTTTAAATTTTTAAAATACGTTTCGTTAATTAATTAACTAATTTATAATTCGTATCGTCATTTCGATAAATAAATAATTTTTTTATTTTTCATTTAAATAATAATAATGATAATGATAATAATAATGATTAAAATTTGCGATTTTGAAAATTTTAAATAATAAAATAAAAAAAAAAAAAAACTTATTAAAATTTTAAATTCGTTAATAAACTTTTGCTAAAAAAAAAAAAAAATTTACAATTTAAATTTTTTACTGAATAATAAAATCGTGTGAAGATGGATTTCAAATTTTACTTTAAAACGGGGGGCGGGAGGGAGGAAGATGGGGGAGGGGAAATCAAATGAGAAAACGTGTGAAAAAGTAACGAAAAAACGATTAAATATACGAAAATCGTTTTTTTTTTTTTTTTTTGGTTTAAAAAAAGCAAGCAGAAGACAAATGAAAAAAAAAAATCGATGATACGTTTTTGCAAAATTCTGTTTTTTCAATAGAAAAAAAAAATCGTTCGTAAATTTTTTGTCTAGTACCACGACACATGTTGTATAAATTATTAATTTAATTGAAACAATCTTTTTTTTTCTCTCTCTCTTTCTCTCTTTACCTTTTCTTCTCTTTCCCATACATTTTTTTTTTTTTTTTATTAACGGTAAAAGAAAAAGAAATTTACATATTTTTAAAGTGAATATTTACAAAAAGTAGTGGAAGCAGAAACAAAAAAAAGGGAGGAAAAGGGCATACGAGTAAAATTAAATTATTTAATTTTATACTCGAAATATTTTATAAAAATTTATTTCCTTGCGGGTATTTAAGTGTGCAAAATGCGTTTTAATATTTTCTAATGGATATTTTATG